TGTGTGTGTGTGTGGAGTGTGTGTGCGTGTATGTGTATGTATGTGTATGTGTGTGTGTGTGTGCGCGCGCGCACCTGGATTTAAAAAACCAGTTATAAGTATTGCGCACGTGTACAAGTATGATTTTGTATAGAACGTGACAATATTATGCGTACAAAGGCACGTATCGAATCTCGGGAGATGTATGCCAAAACTCGCAGACTTTGATCACCGTACCATATACTCTTGTGGACACGTTGAACGTGTTTGAAATACTTATTACGATCTATACAATGCTGTATATAGGGGTCGCGTAGTGACACAGCACTTACTTTTCAACATCATCGAGTGAGGTACTGGCGGCCGCAACTGGGTGGACTTTGCGACCGTTTTGGACGGAGCCAGCCTGGGAGTTGGCATATCCCTGAGATTGGCGCCGTGAAGAAGACATAGGCACGACTTTCACTTCACTCTAAAGTGAAGTCGAACGTGCTTGTAATTTCCGATATTATTGCAGTGGAGCTTCGGTCTCCTCGTTTACTCCTATTCTAATACTTTTCCGCGGTTCCGCACGACAAAGGCTTAAAATACGATTAGAAGTATACGTCAACTATGCTGAGACGTATGTGTGCGTGATGCGGTATTATGAGAATATAAGCAGGCCAATTCAGTCTGTCTGAATCAGTTAGTCCAAATGTAGCGTTGGAACGACGTCGCTGGTGTATATATAAACTCTCTCACAGAATGTCACAAACCGAACATCCCTCCTTCCGCTTTCCGCTTTTGTTTTTAAAAAACAAATATAAAAATGAAGGCGTGAACGACTGAATAGTGAAGAGCTTTTTTTACTGCTTTGTGCGGTGAGCACAACTGCACACAACAACAACAAGAGAGAAGGCAAAGAAAATAAGAAAGGAAGGAAGTGACAGACTGATAGTCTGACAGATGCGCTTATTGAGCTGTTTTCCAAAAACCAGAACCCTAAATAACCCGAACAATCAGTCAATCACAATATCGTCATATTTACACACCTTCGGACTTCAGTCGTCACTCTTTAGATTGCTCCCCTACTAATAACGAATGGCTTCAGCTTTCGGGAACTGCGACACACCTCCTGTGCAGAGCTGTGCTGAATCACTCGGTTTTTTAAAAAACCAAAGAGCCATTAAAAACCAAAGAGAGTTCATCACGGCTCCTCAAAACTCATTTACTCACTAGGTTTAGTTTCTTGTTAAAAACAAATCCTCATCTGTAGGAGTCATGGACCTACTCTAGTCACCGACGATATTTTTAAAAATATGGCTGAGACTTCAAGTCCAAGAGTTCAAGCTTCTCCCCCCTGCTGTGTGAGTGTGTGACTGTGTGACTGTGTGGCATGTGTCGTGCGACAGGTGAGTGAGACTGTGAGTCACTGACTCACTGTCAGCACAGACTCACTGTGTGTAACTCTCTCTCTCTCTCTCTCTGGGTCCTACCTACTCTCTGAGACTCTACTCTCTCTATACTATATAGTACACAACGTAAAAGTGCATATTAGTTTTTTCAACGTTTTATACACGTATTTATTATTTTAGGAAATACAAATATATGTACATATTAAAATTAGGAATAATTATTTTTTTATAAAATGCCATATTTATGAAATAAAAATATGGCATAATTATTTCATATTTATTCTCTTCCTAAAAATATACTTCGTGCATGTTTCATATTTATTATTTTTCCAAAAAAAAATATATAAGTTACATATTTATTATTTCTGCTGTATAATTTCCTCATCTATTATTTCTCCTATAATTCCACATAAATACAACTTCATATTATTATGTCTTGACATAGCTTGCTATTTAGTATGTGTGACGATACATGATACTAAAAGTTAAAAACACATTGATAAACAGTCCTTGTGTATTCACAACACATGTGCACAACGTAGCATAGTAATCTACTAAGTATGAACATATATATAAAGCCTACACTTGGTTTTATGTACACTAAAAAGGTAAAAGGTCTATATAAATAAATCATGAGTTATATGACATCTAAACACGCGTTTTTGTGATGTCATTATTCTGAGTCATAGAACTCGACAGAGATCGTTTAGCAGTGAAGAAGGAAGATGTACAGATTAAGCTGCACTTGAATACTGTGCACTGAGGTGGCATATTTGGGCATGTGGGCTTATATTGTCACTGTATATAAGTCAAATAAACTAACTATCGATTTGTTGACTTGTTTATATAATATGTGTGATTGCTTGTCAGTATTTCAACACCACAAGTATAAAACTGAAATGATTTTTTTTGCCACCTTTTTTGTTCCAATAATCAATCAATTTTCAAATTGGGAACAATTTGCCACCTTATTTGAAAAAGGCGGTCAACATGCTTGAGCGGAAACAGGTTAAATGGCACCTGACGCTATACTACTGGTACGACAGCTCTGAAATTGGTAACAGAGCTCAAGGATAATACTATCGATAGGTGTGAACAATTATTTGTATGTCTGTGAACTATGAAGCTCACAATGTCCCTTCTGGCAGGATATGTAACAAGTGTGGATTACGACTTCTGTGACCAGGATGCACTCAGGAGACAAAATATCGAATTGGCATTTAATATGAAAAAGGGGTTTTCGGGTATCACCCGACTACACTAGTGTCAAAAAGAGTGTCCAACATGTGGGTTTGTATTTTTTGATGTTATTTCGTCCTATTTGGTATAGTTAAATTACAGAGTCTTTCACGCATACTTGCGAAGTTATACAACTATATATATGAACACATATGTCCATGAAACA